GGTGGCGGGCCGAGGCCCATCGGGCTGCCCTTGCTGCCGGACACGTACATGCCCGGATTCGGTTGGTTCGGCACCTGCGACACCATGTCAGGCGGGAAGACTTTGTCGGGATCCATGGAACCGCCTGGAAAGACACCGCCGCCCACCATGTGCTGCATACGCATGAGATTAGGCTGCGGCCGCATGTTGCCGACCGGTCTCATCGACGGGTGCACGCCACTGGTGTTCATCGACTGGCCGTCCATCCTGGGCGAGCCTCCCATGGGGATCCCGGCGTTCATGGTGGACGGCATACCGCTGTGCGGGCCCATACTGTTCGGCACACAGCCGTTGGGGAAGTACTGGAGGTTCACCGACGGTGTGCCCATCTTCGATTCCAGGTTGGACAGGGGGTTGGTGAATCGCTGGAGGAAGTCCAGGCTGGGGGGGCCCCGCGGCGCGTGGCCGACGTTCGGCCTCGCCGGCAAGTACTGTATAGTATTGGGCGCGCTGGGCTTCACCTGGACGTTCGCGCCGTTGTAGGGGCTGGGTCCGGCGACGTGGCTGGTCATCAGTCTCGGTGGCGGAGCGTGGGTCTCGCCGGGATACGCACCGGCGGCGGTCGCCGAGTGGCCGCCCATCATCCCGTGGCTCATCATCGGGTGGCCCATCTTGCTAGGCACGCCGGGGCTGCCGGTGTGCGACGTGGTAGGGCTGTAGCTCGTCGGCGCGCCCGCCAGACCCATGCACATACCGCCTACCTCGCCGGGCTCATTGCTGGGGCCCATGTGGCAACTGCCGTTCATCTCCCCGCCCATCTGCATCATGTGCATGCCGTGGGGGTTGCCGAACGGCATTATACCGGCGTTACCGGAGTGCATAGGCTCGTTGCCCAGAGAGTTGCTCGCCGCGGTGTTCGTCAGCTGCTGACTCATCTGCGCCAAGGACGTTATGGGGTCGAAGTGATTTGTACTCATGGCGGTCAAGCTGCCGAGTCGGCCGCCGATGTTGTTGGGATTGAGAGGCACGTTGTCGGAAGGTTGACTCACGTTTATGGACGGCCTGCCGCACGGAAACGAAGCGCCAGGACCGCTCAGCGATGGCACTACTGTCGTGCTGCCGGAATTGTTCGGGTTTACCACCGACGGCTGCTGCTGCTGCTGCTGTTGTTGTTGTTGCTGCTGCTGCTGCTGTTGTTGCTGCTGCTGCTGCTGTTGTTGCTGCTGCTGCTGCTGTTGTGACTGCGCCTGCTGCTGTTGTTGCTGTTGTTGTTGGACGTCCTTCGCGGATGGTGATGATGTGTCGGGTTTCGTGGTAGGCGACGCCGGCACCGTTCGCGGGGGACCCATGTCGGGTATGCTGGTATTGTGCGGCGCCGGACTACTCTGCGCGCTCGCGCTAGATTTGTTGCCCGGTTTCGCGGGATCCGCCGGGGTGTGGGGCGCGGCACTGCCCGGCGTGTGCGGCGTGTGCGGTGTGTGAGGACTGTGCAGGGAACCGGCGAAGCCACGGTTCATGCTGTCCATCTGTACGGGACTCGCGCCTTCCGATCTAGTTGGGAACTGACTGTTGCTGTCCAAACTTCCCGACAACATTCTGCTGGACATCTCCGACGTACTGCCGGTATTCCTGTTGCGGGCCAAAGAGAACGAAGAAGCGTCGTTAGATGCACGTACATGCAAATTACATGATTATGTACTTGTTATAATTTAATTAAATGGCCTACTAGTTATACAGGGGTAATCGCGGTACAACCAAGGGGAGGGGATGATTCTTTTTGGAAAAAATAAGTCGAAAATGTGGAACGACAGTTTTCTCTATGAAGCGTTGAGGTTTCCGAGAAAATCGACTTGGAAAGTTAGTCGTATACGTACACTTAGCTAAGACGTCGTTGAATGGATACAAACCATATCTGATACGTGTTGTGCAACCAACACGTTAATGTCATGTAAAAACCATCACACGCTCCCAAAGCAAGAAGCATATTCGTATATTCTCGATTAGTATATCTTGACATTAAAAAGAGTCGATAAAAACTGACGGTTGAAACTTCAAGATGGCAAAATAGTAAGGCATAGATCATAGCATCGCGCCACGAGTCAATCAAGTACCCTATATATACTTGTGAAAAGTTCCAAGTACACAAGGTCAGAGGACAAATTAGCAGATATTTACGTAGTTGAATTTCCATCCTTCAGACTCGTGTTGGGCTGTTTCTGGATCGTCAGTTCTTGCCCCTCAAACGTGCTGAGATACTGAAGCTGATGAGGGCTCGGTACCGGCATGAGGTTCGCCTCCTTCACGGCCGATGCGTTCACGGCACCGGTATGTTGCTGCTTTTGTTGAGCTAAGGACTGTAGTGTTCGGCAAAACATACCGTCCACTAGATCGAACAGAGAACAACATTGAATTCAGCAAAGCCGAAAGAATCGCAATCGGCGGGGTGTCGCGACAAATCAATAGGAATTTAACGAAAAACGTTTAATTACCATTTGGCGGCTGATTGTTAGGAAAATCAAGGGAAGCATCCTTTTGAGCAGTGGTGCCGCTAGGACTGAGAGCTGCGATGTGGGAATGAGAGACCGGCGTTCCCGGATTGCTGTGGTTCAGTCGAGCCGTCGACACTGCGGTGGCGGCCGTGGCGACCGTCGGATTCGGCGAATCCTGACCGGTCGGACTTTGTCCCGGCAAGTGGCTGGTCCTCTGATTACCAAGCTGGAACTGTCGGTTGCAGTCAGCCGGTGAATTCAGGGCCGAACTCGCGCGTGGTGACGGCAGCGACAGATTACTCGTCGGATTGTTCGGCGAGGATGGGTTTGGACTCTGGATCGCGATCGGTACGCTCGCGGACCGGGTCGTTTGATGATACGGAGGCGGCGGACCCTGACTTCGCGGCACTCCGACCATGTTGGCGCCGCGCAACGGCACCGCACCCGGATTACCCACATTTGACTGCAAACGTTTCAAGATATCGCTAAAAATATTGCCGGGGAAAAATATAATGCAGGGTGACGATGCAATAATCATTACCCACCTTGAATCTTATCTTTGAAATATGAGAGAGTAAGAGAGAGAAATTTATCTAGCAGAAATTACATTGACACTAATGGTCATCTGTAATTGGCTATAGTTATGCAAGCATGGATCCAATCCACAAAATTATGATTTTTGAGATTTTGCTACCAATGAGTAGTATACACATCTTCCTATGTAAAACTAAAAGATCCAAGCCCTATGGGCACTTTTAAAATTAATTAAAAAACAGTTTTTACTTCCCACTAGGTGTGCCATTTTTATTTGTTGCATCTTTTTCACCCATTTTTTTGTTTTGAAAGGATCAAGCTTGCCAATAAATACACTTAAAAAGAAGAAAGTGGATCATGCTTAACTTCTTGAACAATTGTAAAGAACCTCAATGCTATATTTTTTTTGTAATCATATATCAACTTCAGTGTTATATTTTTTTTTAATTATATAACAGACTTTCATCTTCATTTTTCTCAAAACGTACTCCATGTGAGTTGGATCCTTCTTGCATAACTATAAGAATTGTAAGTTTTCTTCAAATTTTGTTATCTAGCCACGTTAATGAGGTGTTCTTATTTTTCAAAGATATTCAAAGTGGTGACAACTATTACCTCTCAGCCTGTATAATTGCTAGAAATTCTCTCACGATCCGGAGGTGTCGAGTAAAATTTCATAGGAAAAGAAACATGTACCTTATTTTTGCCATCGAGAAACTGATGCTGCAATTTGTGCCAATCCATAGACGGAGGACATTGATTTGGTACACTGACGGGAGGAACATTTGAGGGAGGACATGACACGGTTGTTCCTTGCGCTGCATCCAGAGTGCTGCCGGGATCCTCTTTGTGCCCAGGAAACAGCATCATCTGCATTTTCCGCAGGGTCGCCAGCTGGACTTCTCTGTGCTGTCTTTGTTTCGGTGTCAGATTTTCGTCCGGAACTTTAACACCTTGAAGTGATGGCTGCAGACCTCCCGGGCCTGGGCTTGTTATGTTAGGACTGTGGCCCATGATAGCGTTATTAGCGGGTTGAGGATTGGCTGTGTCAGAAAGGATATTTTTTTCCAATTAGTCCTCCGGTAGTGTAAAACTAAAATATGGATTCAATCGACGGGCAATTTGGATTGACGATGTTTTACCCGAATTACCAGGTGAATTCGGCACAAGGCAAGGCACGTCTATGTTACCATCATCCAATGATGGTTCAGAATTAAGAGAGTTTCCACCGTTTATGTTTCGCAAGTTAGGTTGCTCGTTCCAATATTGCGTAGCATTTGGGTCTAGTGCTGGTAAATCCGGGGGTTGTTCAGTCGGAAAAGTATTATTCGTATTTCCCTGATGGCCTTTCTGTTTCATCATAGCAAGATTATTTAACCATTGAGCAGGATTTTGGCGAAATTGATTTACTTTATTGGGATGTTTCTAAAAGAATAAAAACGGTGAATATTAATGGTAATTAAACGACAACTAAATATATGCCGCATGAAATCGTAAGTTTACTAAAAATAACGTTTCAAGTGAGCCGTTTACGTTGAATGTGGTGTAAGTCAAACAAAGATAAATTAAAAACAGGTGTAAGAGGATGATACAAATTAATGTATGTATGTATGTATATATATATATACACATACATACATATATGTATGTACATATATATATACATATATATATATATATATGTACACACGCGTACTACTGTAACAAAATTCTTTCTCGCAACACACACACATTCACATACATACAGCTAGAAATGCAAGTTTCGCAATAAACCGCTCATATGATAGGAAACTTACAATATTTTTGGAATAAGTTAACATTGTTCTTGTAATACCTCCAAATACTTTTTAGTGTTTGGTTGAGCACGATGAAAGTCGATGATTGACGGATAATCGCCCCTCATCACAGCATCCGCGCCTTTATTCGCTAGTAGTGTAGAAAATACATAAATTTGGCTCTGCTGCTGCATATATTGAGCCTCCCCGCTGCCCGCGTTAGTCCCCATCTGTTTTCCCAGCACATTACTAACAAGTGGTTGAATGCCGTCCGCTGTAATAACATTTCCACTACAATCTACAGCAAAAAGGGCAGCATGATTATTCTAACGCAAGATTGACCACTGGATATTTAAGCATTGTATCAGCGCGCGCGCATACAAGCAAAACATTCAAATAATGACTCGGTGGGTGCAGGAACATGGAAACAAATCGATCTTACCAGGTAGATCGTCAGTAGGATTATTAGGATCTCCCTCTTGCTTGACCGAATTCAAGATCGGCTGATTCCCATTGGTATTTTGATTCTCCCCAGGCATCGTACCTTCGCCATTGGGCAGATCCAAGCATGGGTCCCTGGGACACTCAGCTGTGTCCTCGCCGGTCGTGTCGTCGTTGTTACCACCAGGACCTTCCTCCTTGATCTTAACCGGGTCGGCGTCAGGCTCATCCTTGACAACCGTAGTGGGCACACAGCTAGGCTCGTTGGGCTTCTTCTCGGTTTTCATGGCTGGCTGGCGTCGATCAGGACAGTCAACAATATCAGACCTCACTGGTGCTGGACGGCGAGAAGACCAGACTCATGGCCACTAGCACACCGTGTCCACGACGCGCTGGCTGCGAGCGACGGCCAGATGAAGAAACGGCGAGGGAAACACAGACAGAGAGAAAGAGAGAAAGAGAGACGGAAAGAGGTTAACGACCAGGTGCACGTCGACCGGTCGTCCGAGAGTCACGCGCGTTCACCAGACGGCCACCGCGAGCATTCTCGCGGAAGGCATGGCGGTGCGCCCACTTCCTGGATAGCACGGCGACTCAGCACGGCACCAGCGGTCCGTCTCGCGCATTTATCCACACCGTGGCTGGGGATGCCGAAGCTCCACCTGGGGTGCCGTGCTGCTGCTGCTGGTCGACGCTGGGCGATACGATCAGCGCGCACAACAAGCCGGCGGTCACAACACACGGTAGCACGAACGTCTCGCTCTCACGGCCGCACCGTGGAAAAATATCCCAAATGTCACCCTCGCGCACACAAACGCGAAAGAGAGAGACGGAGAGAGAGAGACGTAGAGAGCGAGCGGACGAGAGTACAGCGCGCGCCTCTCCGGCTGCTGCTTCGTGTGTCTCTCGCGCGCGCGGCTGCTGCGGCTACGGCTGCGGCGGTGGCAGAGCAGCAGCAGCGGCGGCGGCGGCGGTACGGTATACGCGGTGCGCGTTCACGTTAGCGACGTAGAGCTGCTCACCGCGCGTGAGAGAAAGAGAGCGAGAGACAGCGAGGGAGTGAGCGAACGAGAGAGCGACAGAGCGAGCGAGCGAGAGAGAGAGGGAGATAGAGAGACACACACAGATCGCGCGCGCGCGCGCGCGAGAGGGAGAGAGAGGAACGCGCGGACACACAATATCAACGGTGGTGCGAACGCACACTGCGGCAGCACAACCCGAGTAGCCTCCTCGCCGTCGTCGTACGCGCAAGCATTGTTCTCTCTGGCCCGACTTTATTTGTCACTTCATGGTCGCTTTGATTATTTATTTCTTTTACGCACGGCTGCCAACTGCAGCCGTCGAAAAGTTCGACATTCGGGGGAAGTTCTCGAAGCACGCGCGTGCAGTGCTAACGCGGAGCGGCGGCGAGCAGGCGAACAAGGACGCGACGATGCGCCGCGGCGCGGTGGAAGTGGGACACCGCCACGTAGGTGACCGCCGAGAAAGGGGGGCGCTCCGTGCGTGCGATCGGCCCCACGAGAGAGAGAGAGAGAGAGAGATCCACGCTCTCGCTGGCGCGCTGTATGTACAGCTCGCCCCGCGGGGTTACTATTTTCGTCTTTCTTTGGTTATATTTTCACCTCTCGTCACGTCCGACAGCGGTCGGCCTTTCGTCCCGGTGCCGCCGCCATCGTCGCGCTACGTCCACGCCGCGGGATTTAAAAAGTCCGCGAGACGGCCCGCTTTTCTCTCGCCTTTCGCCCTCAACGGTTCGGCAAACTCGAAGCCGATTGCGAAATTAAATTTGGAACGCGCGCATATGCAGGCGCGGGAGACGCACGAGCGGGTCGCGATCCGCCTGCATTCCCCGAGTTCCCGAGGAGCGCCGACGGCGACTTCTCGTAGGTGTCGTGGTGCGGCTCCTCGAGCGCGTGGTAGGGGCCTTCCTTCGTCCGGCGGCACTTTTGAAATTACCCAGTAGTTCCGCTGGTTCCACGCGGAAAAGCGCGGAAATTCAACGTAGGATCGTGTACCGCTCGATGATCGACATTGAGTTTCACGATTTCTTTCTCTCGCGCTGCACTCCCTCCCTCTTTCAATCATATATATATGTGGCTCTCAGATTATCTTCTCAATCTCACCTTTGCCAATTAAGCTCCAGCTCTCCTCCATTCGACCTGTGAATCATCGCTTTCGTCGATGAAGAAGAAAAATGTGCACGAGCGATGCGAAGATCAATTTGAAATTGACAGGAGTCTCCCCTCCGCGAATAGATCTTATCGATCAAACGATTTAGTCGTAAAATTGCAGCGGTATAAGTATTTTCAAATTCGGCCCGTCTGTCACCGACGAACGTGCTGAAATTAACGGATGATGACGTGAGCTTGGAGAGGCGAGAAAATCGCATTTTCGAGAAGTAAACGCGATAACCTGAAGAGCTAGACATTGCGTTGCCGATCATTTCACACGACGAAGCGGTAACGCACGCTGGCGACTGGTATGGACAACAATAAAATGTCGATGTTGCATCCGGCGTAATTATAGATAACGCGTGCGATACGCTTTTTATTAACCGAAATATCGCGTATTTCGCAGGTTAAACGGCAACATTTCTCGCATAGTTTCGCTCTGTCCGATGCAAAAATTGGTACAGATGAATATCTAAGACCAAAAACTATAGGATATAGATTTTTATCTCACTCGACAGTACTGTTTTGCTACGTAAAGAGGCATTTTTGTAACTTAAGCTGGCGTGTGTACGCGTAAAATTGATGTAAGACGAGGTATACGAACGAAAAGTGTCAATTGAACGCGTTAATTTGCACGTTAGGTTATGTCGCGCGACGACATAACCTAACTGCCGCAAAGCCGTATATTCCCGCACCATGATTGATCATTTGAAATTTTTATGCTGTGCAGCGGGTACAGATTGTAATATATATATATATATATATATTACTGAGGGGGAAACGGTTTCTGTACGATGACACAGTTGGAATTGGATCCTCAGTTTACACAAGGATTGCGCCTCTTGCACTCTACTAACAAAGACTCGGCGGAACAGCTGCGGGCGATGTTGGACGAGATGATTAAATTAAAATACGGACCGTCTAAGATGCTCCTCAATGTACTCCATAAGAAGGTAATCAACGATCATTTATACAACTGGCGAATTATGTCCGGTAAATTGGTCTTTAAAAAGAGTTCTGCTTATTTTTCAGTATATGACGGAGGAACTGGTGTTGAGTGATCACAGCAGTAGCAGCAGTAGCAAGAAGAGCAAAAGCTCAAGCTCATCCAAGCACTCGAGTAAGTCGAGCAAAAATAGTTCACCTGTTAATCTACCAGCGCGCGACACACCACCAGACATACTGCAGACAGACGACACGCTAGCGTTGGAAATTCTAGAGGACGACCTGACATGTGTCATTTGCAAGGGAATGGATGTCGGGGCGAGGAATAGACTTGTGGAATGTCTAGAGTGTCATTCTTTGTATCATCAGGAATGCCACACGCCACATATTTTAGATGCGCAGATAGATGCACTCATGCCGAAAAATGTCTGGTACTGCTCAAACTGTACCAAGTCTCAGGTGTGTGTATTCACCCACATTTACAATTTGTATGACAATTGTACATACGATTATATATCTTTACAGTTACATATACTTGTGGTGAAATTATGTTCCATCTGACTATGAAAAAAAAACTTTTTATTACTTTACTATTGATCGTTAACTATTTAGTGATCAGCGACGCAATTATTTTGCTTTTATTTCGCAATTATTTTGTTTGTTACACCATAGATCTCTAAGGAGAGAAGTTCACCGAAGACTGTACTAGAGACCAAATCGAAAGAGCAGAAGAAACCTGGCTCAAGTAAGTATCTCAAATGCGTATGCATTGATGACGTTTCTTATCGGGAGGAATTGAATTTCACCATTAAACCATCGATTTGCGCAGGTAGCGGAGCTAAGGTGACACCAAATATCCATATCATAAGTGCGGACAAAAGACTGAAAGACATGATGAAGAAAGCTAAACAAGATAAACGAAACTCAAATACTGCCACAAATTCGAAAGGCTCTTCGTCCAATTCGCCTGCGTCATCTTCAGCCAAGTCTTCTCAAGACAAATCGTTATTATATAAGATGAAGTCGGGGGTAGAATAAATCTCTTGACTTGGGAGGAAAAAAAGAAAACATTGAACAAATCTATTCAATATGCAATTATTCGATTTAGAATGATAACCCGAAACAAATCCCTGTCTCTTTATTGATAACGAGGTGATTTTGTAAATCGATTTTATTAATGTAGGATAAAAGGCGACAATGTTTATGATTTCTTTTTATGAATATATTTTCTTATGATGAGAATTAGTAAGAATCGCGCGTCACTCTCTATGACAGAGATAAAAGTCCTAAATAGACGATACCACTATATAGTATGTATTTATATTGAAGTTTAATCTCGAATTACATTCAATCGACATTAGTACAATTGGGCCTTTGTGTAGTGTCTGAATTTCTCTTACTGCCTATAAATACAATTCCATATTATACAATTTATTAATAATTGTACAAACGTGCCATGTAAATTTGTTATCTTTAAGCTTTCGCATTATTATTACAAAAATATTAAGTATGTAGAAAATAATGACATAATATTACTATCGCTAATAATTATTACACACATAATATCGTTCGTAATACAAGTCTGCGTTGACATATAGTTTTAATGTAAATATACAATAGATCATTTTTTAATACCTTTTTATTGAGATATATTTATAAAAGGAAAGCGATAAAATTATACAAACTTCACATATCTCGAGAGATTGCGTGTTAATTGTACTGTATATCGCATATACACAATTTCGTTACCGAAATCAATTCGTACCAAGTACGCCGATTCCCCTTTCTTCGCTTCTTCTTTTTCTTTCTTTTTCTTTTTACTGGCGTAACGATACAACATCGACCGGGGCTCTTCTTTCGCGTAGTCGAGATGCACAGTGGAAAACTATAACGCGCGCCAAGTACGTACTACTGTATACAAGATATACATGTAAACTCTCTCGTTGCCCCGCGAGCGCGGCGGGAGCGTGGCGGAGTCGCGAGCAATCCCGAAATTAACATGACGATACGTGACGCTTAATATCCGAAGATTCGTCGTATGTAATATTTCCTTTATTTTTCTTTCCCCCGAAGAGTCCACGTGTCCATCCGTATATTTATAGCGACGGTACTTATATAGATCTTAGCGCCCAGCTAGAGCTGTGAGATAATTTTTTACACACGGGCGACGATCATCATTTATTCATCGTGTCCGTCTCTCTCCAATTGCAATGTGAATACCCTCCAATATGAGACACGACTATACAGTTAGAAACTTTCGAATCCGCGTCGCGAGGGCCGAGAAGAAGCCGATCGCGCGCGCGCGCGCTCTCTCTCTTCGTCTTTAACAGACACTTGGATGAATCACGACAAATCATAGTGACTCAAGTGGGGAAACCTCGGGTTGGCTCGGTGGCCCTTCTACCTCTCTCTTTGTGTGTTGTGTTCTCTTTCCTTATCACACGCTTACAGTTAAAACGACCATCGAGATGATGGTGGGCACGGACACAGTCCGTCGTTAATCTTAATTGTAAGGGTTTAGCGCGTTTGCCTACGGTCAGCCTGTACAGCCTCGATAATTGCAGGTGGGCGAAATAACGAAGAGAATAATAACGTATGAGTTTCATTTATAATACCAATATATTTTTCTGCGATTTTTTCAAATGCAATTAGTCGTCGTTTGTCCCTACGTTGTCCCATTGAAAATTTGGCAAGAGTCGTTTCGTTTCCTCGAGTGTTCGCTTAATGTCTACTCGTACGCGGGATGGGGGGAGGACTAAGATATTATGTACAATGAGGGGGTGAGTGGGGGGGTGAATGAATAAAGGGGGGGGTACTCGCGAGGGGAGCTCGCAATTGCACGCGCACACATGTCGATACATACATAATAATAACACACGCACACATACGCGCAGCGAGCGCGTGACGAAGAATTTGCTATCGTGCACGTGCGCTTTTCCTTTATTCTTTTCCTTTCTTTTTCTCAATGTATTGAAGAACACACGCGCCTTTTTCCACGAGATACGTTTTAAGGGCTTCGTGACGCACACGCTAACAGGTTGAGATGAGTCGACGCAACATGATATTTTCATCTTTCTCGGTAATCTCCAAGATTCTTCTCTCGCAAATTCGGCTGCGCTGCGGATCATTCAGCTCTATCTCAAAGTAGAACAGAAAATCGATGACGATGACGTCAAAATGACGAGAAAATGACTACAATAACTCGCTTTCCGATCATGATTCGATCGCTTTCTCGTCATTTTGACGTCATTTTACCGTGATTTTCTAATCTACCTGGGACCCCAGACAGCACAAATTTCCAAGGAACGTCCCTACGTCTTAAGGACGTTCCTTGGAAATTTGTGCTATCTGACCGGAATAATATATTGGAATGGGCCATCAAGGATTGGACGTGACCCATTCGTAGAAAAGGATGCAGATATGCTGAATGTATCCTTTGTCATGTATGAAAGAGAGAGGATATTCCTCCAATCTATTTATCTATCCTTTTCTCCGACGCGGGCCGCAGATTTCTATAGTTTAATACAAGGAAGCTTCACTCCAGCTTCACTATAGAGCTCAATGGCGCAGATCAAACGTGTGCAATCGTTGCTGATCATTGGTCGACGAATTCTTTCTTTCTCGGTGATCGATTCCGCCCGTCTCTAATTCGTACCCTCGCGGAAACGACGACGCTTCCCGACGAAGAATCTACAAGAGAGAAATGCCCTCTCTCTCACGGGGAAAATTCGGATCGTTCCCCCCCATCCACGCGTGTTCTCGTTATCTTTTCTCTTTCCTCCGAAGCTTAACAAAGAGTTTAATCCTTAACTCGACACGATGTGTTTCAGATTTATATCTATACTACGAAGCATGACACACTAATATCGCCCCACGGCCGCCACGAAAAAATCACCTCTCTCAGTCCATTACGTTATAAATTACATACGACGTTGAATGCGGAATTGACAAGCTTTTCAGATGGATGGAGTCGACTTTCGACTGTACAACTTATACCGGAAACTCTGCCGCGTCTCTCTCATTTACGAATCGTAATTTTTCACGGGACACTTCGCGGGACGCGCATTTCACGGATTCTAAACTCTTTCTCCTCGAGTACGCACCGCATTCGTCGGCGTGTTTCCGCTTGAACAATCGCTCTGTTCGCGTCAAGTATTCATGCGGTACTTTTACAAGAGAGAGAGAGAGAGAGAGAGAGAGAGAGACACTTTCGAATCAACCTAATATTTCCTCACACCGACATCGATCGCTCGGTGTGCTTCCTCTTCCGCAATTTTTATTTTTATCGCGCCCCCAATACATGTGTGAGAAAGATCACACGAAAGGGGAAATGAGTGTTCCTAAAGGCCGTTCCACCACAGCGTAAATGTAGGCGTAAGGTTGTAGTAATAGTAGCAGCAGCACCGAATGTTGTAACAGATTAATCTACAACGGAGTAAAGATACGTCGTAACTTGATCGTGGCAATCAATCAGAATGCGGTCATCTTCACGCTCATGTCCACAAGAGCGACATCCGATTGGTTGGCTCTTACATCTTACGTAGTCGTGAAGGACCGAAGCTCAAGCATCTTTCGTAACGCACTTTACAACCGGTAGTAGTCATTTACAACCGCGTCTTACGACACATCACGAACACTTACAACTACGTTTACGCTATCGCCCAGACAACGGAATGTCTAAAACCATCGAGACATAAGACGTCTTTAAAACACAACGTCTGAAAAACGGCTTGAAGATATCTTGAAAACGTCGCGATTTTAGCGACATTCTGCTGCCTGGATATAGAACGGTCTTAACGCGAGCACGGAAACGAGAGGTAAATAAATATGAATAAATATGTAAAGAACGTTTTTTTCTCATTTTTTTCCCTTCTTTCTTCGGAGCCTCGCTCTCGCTCCTTACGTAACGCGGCAGAGTCGCGAGCATTTGTACGTTCATAAAGTATAGTGTGTAACGCTACATTGGCTTCTATCGGATTGCGCGCGCGAACACACATCACCCGAAATATATTTTATGCTTTACATGCGCCACGCGGATACCTTCCGATGCCGAATTTCACAAAAACATCCTGCGCTTGTCAGGAGGCCAACTGGCACCCGATAATAGCGACGAGATGTGTGTGTGTGTGTGTGGTGTATGTGTGTGTATGTTTATATATATTCATATATATATATATATATATATATATA